GTACGTACGACTACCGGCCTACGGTACGTCGTAACCGTCCGACCGTACGACGTTACGACGACCACCGGACACACGACACGACGACCACGACCACGTATACTAGTATATATATATATATATATATATATATATATATATATATGAGAGCGGTCGGGTAGAATTAGGTTATGGTATGAAACTGCATGAATGATATGGACTGCACTCACTATGCAATTCCGTTTACAAAGGTGCAATTATGGTACAGCACGGGCCACTACGTGAAATCCCCGAGGTTACATAGACATCTGATTGTTAACGGTCTGTCACCATCCCTCCTCCCCGAATGCCAAATTCCTGCATTGCTACAGAGTGAATAGGAATCAGTGATGTGGAAGAAATTGATCAGAAGAGCAGCAATAGAACACGGAAGATTAAGATTAAGACGGACGGACGAACGAATTAACTGACCGATCGATCGATAGCCAGACAGATATAGCTAGATAAAGAGCGAGAGATAGAGCAAGCAAGAGAGAGAGAGAGAGTAATTGTGATGGAGAGCGAAAGAGAGAGAGAGAGAGAGAGAGTGAAAGAAAGAAAAAAAGAGGGAGAGAGCGAAAGAAAAAGAAAGAGAGGAATGAAGAAAGAGAGAAAGAGAGAGAGAGAACAAGTGAGAGATAGAGAGAGAAGGGGTGTAGGAGCGAGAAGAAGAGAGAAAATGAGAGTGAGAGAGGGAGAAAGAAAGAGAGAAAGACAGATGGAGAGAGAGGTATGGGTAACTATGTAAAAGAGCACATACCGGATTCTCCTTATCTCCAAGTGTGTCGTAGCACATGACACCTAGCTGGTAGCGCGCTCTCATGTCCTTGTTCTGTATGGCTTCAAATTCTAACCTCGCCATATCGTAGTCACCCTGCAGCAAACAAGAGCCTAGATTGATTTTGGTCTAATTAGGTTTTCTTGTGTCAGTCTACTTACTTATAGTAGCTTCACACTTACAACAGTCGTCTATAGAGAGTGAGCAACACTCATCCACTTTGTTGTGTTCCCATTGCTGCTCATTTCGGCGTTACGATGTGTCGTTCCTTTATCAGCTGGTCAGCTTATCGGCAGACACACCTGCCGTACGCGGAAGGTGGCCGCAGTGTCACAGCCACGGGCAGGTTCCCGGCCCGACCATACTCATCACGCCCCCACACAGGGAGCGATTACAAACAGTAGCACACACACTTGTGAAGCAGCCTCGTGCCTGGTGCTCAGCCGCGTGGAGTGAAGCGCAGAGGCGAAGTGCTGGCTGAATTCATGTGCTCCATAGGCACATGGAACGTATCAATAATAACACGATCGTAAATCTATATTTCTATTCGTTGTGCGCAGTGGCGAGCGTGCGGTGAAATTGTGTGTGGCAGATGAACAACCGAACGGCATTATTACTAATAGACGAGATAGAGAAACACATTTCGTTTCGTGTTTATTTACCATCATTTTACTAATGAAACGTTCCACGTGCCAGTGATGTGCTCGGCCTCCTCTCTTGCTGGTAAATGACGTGTTCGTGCTAATGCCCTGGAGGGACGCTACGTGTGGTTTATCGAGTGTGCTACGTGTGGTTTAGTATGAGGGTTATCGAGCGAGCGAGAGGGAGAGGAGCCGAGAAAAACAGAAGGAGGGTATGGGCGCGAAAAAGAGAAAAAGACAGATAGGTGGTAGAGTGAAAGAGAGATCAAGATAGTACAGGGATAAGGAGAGAGATAGGTAGAGGTTGGAGAGAGGGCAGGAAGGGAGGGAGAAAGAGAGAGGGGAGGAATAAAGAGGGGGAGTGAAAGAGACCGCACTAATTGACCAGAGAAGCCACAATTTATTTAAGACTCACGTATCAATGTTTTTGATAATTCGTGTTTACATTTTGCCCCATAAATGCAGCTGTCTCTCCCGCGTTGACCCACCTGTCCCCACCTGCCCTCAATGCGTGCCTCGCTGAGCAACACCTGCTCTTCCCTTCTGCACGAATGCACGCCCGGTGACACGCACGAAATAGAGCAGCTGCCGCCGCCGCCGACACAGTCCTATTTGTTTGTACAAGGAATTTTCAATCCGGCTCGTATGACAAAGCTCGTGCAATATTGCTTCCAGAATGAGCTTCAATAATTGCTTAAGTCGAACTTGCGAGATATAAATTTAAAAGCAGAATTTCGTCAGAGACGTCAGCTGCAGAGGAGTTTGTATAAGAGGTGTTTTGCTAAGGAGAAGTGTATACCAAGTTTCTCCTTCAAGAGAATTTAATTCAAAGGAATTTTCGAGAAATTACAATTGTCTATAATATAATGGTTGTATATAATCGTAACGCGAGAGCCTTGTGCGTGCCGCATCAACCACCTATAACTATTTAAAACTAGTTACTGACGCTCCCCATAGTGTCACCGCCCGTGATGCAGGTGGTGTACCAGCTGCCTTGCTGGCTACAAGCCTCCGATGATCTCACCTTATGCCTTTTGTTGTGTGTGCATTGCGAGTCGGAGAACCTCTGGTACTCGCAGAGTAGTCGCAGTACTCTGAGCCATTAAAAGAGATAACAGACGAGCTGGCAACGAGTGGGATGAGAGCTGACCTCAGGCAACGACACACCGTCATCGCGTAATGTTTGCGGTGAGACAAACTTCCCATTTACATATTACTCATTTACATTTTACCCATTTACATATTACATTTACATCTCACATTTTACATTTTACATCTCACCGATTTACATCTCACCCATTTACATATTATTCCCATTTACATTTACAACTTCCCATTATCTACATAGCATTGTATTATGTCAATAGTCCATAATAGAAAATTTTCTATTATGGACTCTTGATTATGTCTATCATCTATTATATAATAACGGTGTCTGTCCCCCTACGTCGTTACCACGGCCTCCATAATACGTACGCGACGATAAAATTAAGGACTTAGACATATCGATAAAGCTGCTACAAGGTAAATATTGCTGCGATTAGTTATCTCTCTGGGCCAACAAGGAGCTAGGGTCTTTCCAGCCTCACAATGGTGACACGTAGCCCCGGCCGACCTACCCGGAGAAATTTCCTGCTAGTCGATAATAGGCGGAGCAATATATGTGAGATATTGAGGGACAAGCGATAGACAAGACAGGCAGAGAGCGAGAAAGAGACAGATAAGACAGAGAGAGAGAGAGCGCGCGCGCGCGTTAGAGAGAGAGAGAAGGGGTGAGAGCGACAGAGTGAGAGAGCGAGAGAGCGAGAGAAAGAGGGGAAGAGAGAGAACAATGGGGACGGAGAGAGAGAAGGTAGGAGTAAGAGCGAGAGAAAACGACAAGGGGGTTGTTAGTCTGGTAAGCAGGGACAGTTCGTGTCTGTACATCTATACGCAATGCACAGCCCGTTGCCGTTCCCTCGTACCATTATATAGTCACACCTAAATTCTACGTACATATTCAAATACAGGGAAAAGTATACGCAGCCCCATTATCACCGTGGTCGTGGAAACGGACCAGAGAGCGTGGGAACCTGTCAGAGAAAACCAGAAGATCGATCGCTTAGGCGCGTGCGAGGCGCACTGCCTCTGCGCGACAACTGTTGCCGGGAGGATGGGAATGCATGAGTGAAACAGAGGGAGGGCGATGAGAGAGAGAGAGAGAGAGAGAGAGAGAGAGAGAGAGAGAGAGAGAGAGAGCTAAAGACAGAAAGGGGGATGGCGGGTGAGAGTGAAAGAGGAAACGAGAGAGAGCGCTCTGCTGACCTGCCCGCTGATTTATTACCGACTGATTGCACCTAATTGCGCGCACGCATCCATTGTGATGGCGTATAGCTATTGTGTGCTCGGCCTTGATTCACAGGAGGGCTCTCTTTACAAATGGCAGTGTGACGACCGAGCCATGCATGGTGTTGGTGTATGACGTAGCAAGCAAGGCAGTAGGGCGAGAGAGAGGGGAGAGAGAGCGAGTGAGTAAGAGAGAGAGAGAGAGAAAGAGAGAGAGAGAGAGAGAGAGAGAGAGAGAGAGAGAGAGAGAGAGAGAGAGAGAGAGAAACAGAGAGCTAGATAGACGGATCGGATGGATGGAGGGAGATGGATACTGGATGGAGAAGGATGATGGATGGATGGATGGATAAATGGATGAATGCATAGATAGATAGATAGATAGATGGATAAATGGATGGATGGATGGATGGATGGATGGATGGATGGATGGATGGATGGATGGATGGATGGATGGATGGATGGATGGATGGATGGATGGATGGATGGATGGATGGATGGATGGATGGATGGATAGATGGATGGATGAATGGATGCAGGAGTCTCACCGCGGGTGCCACAGTCTGGTGCACGGCGGCACGAAGCGGTCATTGGAGCGGGTGCACGTCTGAACCAAACAAAATGCGCAGCCATTTCGGAATAACTAAATACGCATGCGCCAGCAGTGAGTTCAGCCTCGCGAGACAAAAATTATCAAACACGACAGATATTTTCCTCACCGCCTCGCGAGACCGAAGACTCAGTGAGATCGACCCCGCACACGGTGAGGTTCCTGCTGAGCACGGAGCGTGAGCTAACACTGACCTAACCACAGTGACGGCTGGCTGTCGCCTAGACCCTCTACTGGCAACCCATGCCAAGAATAGCGACCAATATCACATAATTGGAGCGATTTCTTTACCAGCCATCACGACCGAGTTCTCGGGTTGAGATATGCACTAGTAAGCTAAATGACTCGTCAGGGTTTATTAACGTGTAGCTCTAGCCAATCAGCTTTGTAATATGAAGCATCAAAAATCTCGCTGGACCACTCGCTGCCTCTACTACTCATTACTCCTACATTTACAGTAGAAGCACGCTCACTCAGAACGCTCTTGCATGGGTTTGTAAATTAGCTTACAGATGTCATCCGCAGATAGTCACGCCTATGGTCTGGCGCATCGCCACAGCCAGGCCCGCGGATATAAACTTTCATGCCTATACTATCATTATCAAGAGCTAATAAATACCTAATAATCCTAATAATAGGTATTTATTAGCTCTTGATACTATGCCTATGCTTATACTGCAATCTGACAAGCAGGCAGGCAGGCGGCTCTACACTTTAACGCCTAACTGCGCTCGCGTTGCGGCAAACAAACAGATCCGGCTGCCTTTTCATGCCTATCAGCCGATAGTCGTAACTCTTAATTACAGGTAATGAGTCATTAGCGTGAATAAGACCAATTAAGTAACCGATCTGTGTTGCCGCCTACGGGGGATGATGATGAAGTAAAGGTAAAAAGGTTACCCTGAGCACCACGGTAGTAGTCATTCACAACGTGGTCAAGGATACTACTAATTCCTTTAAACACACACACACACACACACACACACACACACACACACACACACACACACACACACACACACACACACACCCACTCTCTCTCTCTCCTTCTCTCTCTCTCTCTCTCTCTCTCTCTCTCTCCTCTTCTTTTTTATTATTTCTTGCACTTTCTTTCATTGGCTATGCTAGTCACAGTAGTAAATGCTTCCTACAGCATGATCAGGTTGCTGATACGTGCCAGAAAAGAAACCTGAAAGCAGCGCATCCATGGTTCAGCAATTAATAACATCCGCCACGCAAGCAACATTGTAGGGATGTTTTTCTTGGTAGGCTTTGATTAACCAAAACGTTGAATATAATGTATATATCGGTTTATTCTATGTATGTTACGACGGTTATTTGGCACGTAGCCATCTCCCGGCCTGGTTTATTACTCTTTCTATGATTGCTCATGAATATTTAATGTTGTCACATCTATTAGAAAGCGCAATAAAAGAATTATGCCATCAATAAATATCATCTTAACGTTGTTTTTAGTCGCACGTTTTCCTTGTTTACTACCCTTGTTGCCGCACTTATTTCCCTAACAAAAATTAATCTACATCTCTACGTTACCCAATAGAACTCTGTGGTTTTGCTACGTTACAACATCCAGCCGACCACCTGCAGCTGTTGCGATGCCACCCGAGACTTCAAGTCTATGGGTGAGTTACCACTGCTGTTGGTGTCATTGCTGTTGCTGCTGCTGTTGCCCTTACTAGTGTTACTACTGCTGCTGCTGATGATGATGATGATGATGATGATGATGATGATGCAACTGCTGCTACTACTACTGCTGCGGCTGCGGCTGCTACTCTTGCTGGTGCTACTATACTACTACTGCTACTGCTACTGCTACTGCTACTGCTATGTACTGCTACTGCTACTGCTACTGCTTACTGCTAGCTGCTACTGTATACTGCTACTGTTCTGCTACTGCTACTGCTACTGCTACTGCTACTGCCACTGCTACTGCTACTGCTACTGTTACTGCCTAGCCACTGCCAAGTGCTACGTACTGCTACTGCTACTGCTATGCTACTGTTACTGCTACTGCTACTGCTACTGCTAACTGCTACCTGCCGCCCTACTGCCACCTGCTACTGGCTATGCTACTGCTACTGCGTATTGCTACCTATTACTGTTACTGCTACTGCCTACTGCTACTGCTACTGTTACTGCTATTGCTAGCCTATTACCTGTTACTGCTACTTGCTCAGCTGCTACTGCTACTGCTATGCTAGCTGCTACTGCTACTGCTACTGCTACTGCTACTGCTACTATTACTGTTACTGCTACTGCTACTGCTACTGCTACTGCTACTGCTACTGCTACTACTACCTATTACTGTTACTGCTGCTGTCGTCATCGTCGCTGCCGCCGTCCCCGGCGTGTGCAGTGGTGGTGGTGGCGGCGGCGGCGGCGGCGGCGATGGTGGTGATAATGTTGATGATGATGGTGGTGGTAGTAGTGCCGCTGCTGCCGATTCTACTAGTACAGCTACTATTACCAAGGACAGATAACTCAACCCAAACAATAAGAAATGACGACATTATTGACCGCTGCTATTTTTGATACAAGTCTACTGATATTGCTGCTGTCGCTGCTGCTAATGTGTCAGCGTACATAGGCGCGTTGGTAACGATATAAGTGGAGGCAGGGCTCTTCGTATATTTCCTGTGTGAACGCAGCAGCACCCGGACGCAAGTCTCGCCTTACCGACTGCAAAACACTCAACGTTGTTTTCTCTACACGACCGTGTTTGTAAGAAGTTATATATAGTAAATAATGAATACTAGCGCGTGAGAAGCGCGGCCGCTCCGCCATGCTAGACTATAGGCGGCAGAAATCCCACCACACGTGGTGCGTGCTAATTAAGCACTTACTCAGCTTACAAAACCTCTTCGCTTATGTGTGTGATGTATTTTTCTGCGTGTAACTGAGTAGAATTTAAAGGGTCAGTTCCACGTACGGTTCTAATCACATGGGTCTCGGTCTATATACGTTTACACAAACACACACATACACACACACGCACACGCTCACGCACACGCTCACGCACACGCACACGCACACGCACAAGCACACGCACGCACACGCACACGCACACGTTCACGCACACGCACACGAACACGCACACACACACACGCACACACGCACGCACGCACGCACACACACACACACACACTTTCTATTTCTTTCACACACGCACGCACGCACGCATGCACGCACACACGCACGCACACGCACGCACACACGCACACACACGCACACACACACGCACACACACACACACACACACACACAATTTTGTATATATATATACATATACATTATACATATCTCCTCTTGGGACATATAATCAAGAATCCTCCACTCCTCAATTATGTGAACCCACATTACATTAGCCACATATTAAAGCAGCACAATGCGCATCCAAACGCTAATTTCTCCAGTACTAGACTAGCAAATACTTCGTGTCATGCATAATCACACTACCTCATGACAAAATAAACTCTAGTTACTCCCATTTCACTGCGCGTTGTCTTATAAAAGGTATTTGAAAATACCTCCAGTGCTGTTCAAATTCTCCGATGTTGTTGACAGTTTCCCCAAGCAAACGTGCAGCGGTTCTGCGGTACAGCGGTACGGGTGTAGCAAAGATAAAAACATGTGACGTCACCTAAACACTTCGAGGCTAAATTGTTTGGCAAACAAGTCGGCGTTTGCGCCAGAATGCCAGTTTTCTCACCTCTTTCTTGTGGGTTTTAAGCAAATGCGCAGTGAAATGGGAGCAACTAGAGTTTATTTTGTCATAAGGTAGTGTGATTATGCATGTCACGAAGTATTTGCTAGTCTAGTACTGGAGAAATTAGCGTTTGGACGCGCATTGTGCGGCTTTAATGTGTAACATCAGTCAACATGCAAAACAGCTGCACACCTGTCAACAAGCGCATGTAATATTTGCATACATATTATATTCCAGCTGACAACGGAATGCTGCAACCTACCCAAGGCTGCCTGCCCACCTGTTCGCCTGCTGCGCATGCACATATATATAAGTAACCATGCAGCTACTGTTCTGATTTTAATGGATGATCTGATATTGGGTTCCCCGGCGACGCGGCTGCTAATACGTGCCTGAGATGCCGCGAAACGCTGCCTTCTCGCTCGCCCTGCGGGCAATTACAGCATCGCGCCGTCAAAACAGACGTGAAATGTTTGCGTAACTGTACATGACCGTTGGACCAGTAGACCAGCTACAGACTGTAGACAGACGGCACACATCGACATCTATATGTATACACATGTCGTGCACTACTAGGTACATGGTCACCGGGATCACCACACTGATCAAAAAGCAATGTCGCACTTTCCCCGTTTTATTCTGATAATTATTGCCTGCATGCCGCTACTCGTTTACCTGATTGTTCTCGGAAGCTCACTCGTGTTTTGCGGGGATGGTGCGGAGATGGTAAACCGCGGAGATACGGGTTAGGGCAGCGAGACAATTTTCTTTGTTTATCGCCGTGTTTCTGCCTATTGCGAGATGCGTTTCATATGCGTATATATATACTAGTTCTGATAAAGGGTTACTTTACAGCACGTGTGTATGATAGTAGAGCTTACACTAACCTTCTCGAAAAGAAACTGCCCCAGTTGGAACTCGGCACCAGCGCATCCCTCTCTCACTCTGCTCCGCAATATTTCCTCCACCTCCTCCGCCAGATAGTACTCTTCGTTGCACAGCAACGACTGATTTTCGCCTGGCTTCAGTTTCTCTTCCTTGGCAACCTTTTCAACGATGCTGGTGCGGCTGCCAGGTAGCACCTCCGTCGTTAAGTCTTTAGTCAGCTCCATGACCTGCGAGTGAGCGAGAGAGAGAAAATAGTGCGGAATATTGTACTATGGGCGGATGTGACCATACAAACACGTACAAATAGGCCTAGTAGCGGCAAGCCTGCAGCCGATTTATCGATTGATCGAAAAATAGATATATAGATCAATCGTTTGTCATATATATATATATATATTATATATATAGTATTAATATATATATATATAATATATTGTGTGTGTGGGTGTGTGTGTCGTGTGTGTGTGGGTGTGGGTGTGTGTGTGTGTGTGTGCCTGGCTGGTGTGCGTGGGCGTGTGCGTGTGCGTGGGCGTGTGCGTGTGAGTGTGCGTGTGAGTGTGCGTGTGCGTGTGCGTGTGTGTGCGCGCGTGTGCGTGTGCGTGTGTGCGCGCGTGTGTTACAGATATTGATATATGTATATATATCAGGAGTGTATAATAGGGATACCCTATTATACACTCCTGATATATATAATGTTACCAAGAACTGATAAATATATATATACGAGAAGTATGTTTAGCTCTTGATGTTATCTATTATTATGCAATTTATGATTATAAATATATATTATGTATTTTGAATTGGCGCTAAGACATTACCGACTATATATGATCGAGAAATATTCTCGTATCTAAATACTTCCCAGTGATGATTTTAACCGCATTTTCATCTTGCGACGCCAATGTTTTAAATACTAGAAATGCCGTTACAATACGTTGGTATATAGTATTTAAATAGTTTACTTAGCGTATTTACTCTGCTGCGCAGGGGATTAAAAACATAGTAACGTACGGTGGTATATACTGATTCGACACCTGGCAGGGAGAAAGTGGAATCGGAAAAACTATAGAATAAGAAGGCTTATTCCACAGACTGTAACTCTAAAATGCCAGAATACTTCACCACACTGTTCACGCGATTAATTCTATCACAACAAACTATAGTGAACATTCACTACTGGCTGACATGCGTATTGCACAGTTGCGTTCCCTCTTCGATGTTCACGTTGCTGTGGCAACGGCCGATCTGTATGACATCATACCCACATGACAATGGTTTATGCCCGGTTGGTCTACTCCCATTTCGTCTAATGTGAAATTCCCAATTTCGTCTATAGCAAAACCCCAGTTGATTTACACCCATTTCCTCTACTCAAAGTCTACATTAAATATCTACCTTATTCTTATTTTGCCCACTATCAACTCGTCTACTAAATAATCATTGTATATCATGAGATACAATGGCCTACACATGAGTACACCACACACACGCCGCTGTACACAAACAACAAGAATAAAGAGCCGTGTACTCATATGTGTTGTAGAGGAGCATATGAACGGCATTTCCAGGAAGTTATCGGCAAAAATAGGCGAAAGTGAGTAAATTAAGAAACACTAGGACTTTGGTAGTAAATACATTTCGTGTTTATTCACCATAATTTTTTTTATTGAGACGTTCCAAGTGCCTCTGGAGCCAACACCAATACGCACACCCGTGCCCAGCACGCACGCACGCACGCGTGAATAACCCGAACAGAGAAACCGGCTTTGTTGCAAATAAGCGTAGCAAAATCGGCGGTAATAGAGCCACAATGGAGGATGGAGTCACCCGCGCGGAGTATTCACGGCAGCGAAAACTACAAGTCTACACTGCATGCGTCCTCGTGATGTGACCCTGCCAGCTCCTTAGCTGCCTGCCAGATGTAAACCTAAATATGTAACTGAATATGTAAACCTGCTGAGAAAATCTTTGCCGAACTGTCTCTGCCGGGTTACAGATAATTTGTCGAGTTCCTTGTATGCCGCTCTCTCCTGCTTCATCGGTCTCGCGCGCTCTCTCTCTCTCTCTCGCTCTCTCTCGCTCTCTCTCTCTCTCGCGCCACCGACACTCCACTCCCCGACTGCTGCTGCCACCCACACTCCACGCCCGCCGCTAGCATCGCGCACTACACCCACCCCGCACTCCGCACCCACTCCACACCCTGTGCGCTGCCGGCACCCCAGCATCCCCACCCCCACGCTGCGCGCCACCGCACACTCCATCCGCCAGGCGCTCCGCCACCCGCTGCCACCTCCACGCCCCGCACCCTGCGCTCCCCACAGCCCTGTGCTTCGCCGCCACCCCACTCCATCCCGCGCGCTCCCCACCCCCGCGCTCGCGCCCACCCTCAACGCTCCGCCACGCCCATCCAAACCCCCAGCGCTAGCTCCGGCTAGCCCACACTGCCACCCCCGCGCTAACAGTCACCCACTACGCACCCTTAGCTCCGCCACCCACACTCCACCCGCGCCTACGCTCGCGCCACCCACACTCCACCCCCGCGCTCCGCCCACAGTCGAGGAGTCCGCGACACGCCGCGCTCCGCCACCCACATTCCCACCTGCGCTCCGCCTACCCTACTCCCTCACCCCTCGGTCCCCACACCCGCCAGCCTGCCGTCCCCACCTCCTCACTTCCCCACCGACCTCGCTCCCACCCCCGCTCCCACACTCTCGCGCTCCCACCACCCGCGCTCCCCACTCACTTCGCTCCCCATGCCGCTCCCCGCTGCCACCCTCCGGCTCGGCCCACCCTCACTTCCCCCCACCCGCTCCCCACCCCTCGCTCCCCACTTTCCGCGCGTCCCCACCGCCGCACGCTCGCGCCACGCCCTCGTTCGCCCACCCCCTCGCTCCCCCACTCCGCGCTCCCCCATCCCCCGCGCTTCGCACCCCCTCACGCTCTCACCCACCTCCCACCTGCCGCGCTTCCCCAGTCCCGCGACCGGTTGTATGGAGGCGACCCTCCTGAAACTACTACGATATATCGGGTGACTGGCGCCGAGAAGATACACAGGTACTTCTGGCTATGTATACTCGTTAACAACTATCTTTTCAGTGAGCTTGTGGCAACTAGCTGATGTGTTAACGTCCGCGTGAGATAGCATCACGTTGCAACAAGGAGGCATTTTAACGATATTCACCGTGGATCTATTAGTCGAAATCTAGAGCATACATACACAAGAAGACTTTAGTAGTGTATGGAATTTGTGTTATTTGCAGTCATTCTTTATCGAAATCGGACCTGGCAGCTTGCCACGCGACGACGCGCATAGATCTCTAAATTAGCGTACCACCTGTAAGTACAACGGACCGCAGCCCGAGCACAGACAGGAAGAAGAGAGAAGAGAGAGAGAGAGAGAGAGAGGAGAGAGAGGGCAGAGAGAGAGGAGAGGTAGAAAGCTAGAGCGAGGATGAAGACGAGAGAGAGCGCAGAGAAGAGAGCAGGTAGAGAGAGAAGAGACGAGAGGAGAAGAATCGAGACGAAGAGAGAGAGAGGAGAGAGAGAGAGAGAGGACAGCAAGAGAGATGAGAGGATAGATAGAATGAAGAGAGAGAGAGAGCGAGACGCGGAGCGAGAGACGAGAGAGAGGCGAGAGAGAGCGAGAGCAGAGAGAGAGAGCGCGCGAGACCGATGCAAGCAGGAGAGAGGCGGCCATACAAGGAACTCGACAACATTATCTGTAACGCCGGCCAGAGACAGTGTCGGCAAAGATTTTCTCAGCAAGGTATACATATTCAGTTACATATTTAGTTTACATTCTGGCAGGGCAGCTAAGGAGCGCGCAGGGTTCACATCACGAGGACGCATGGGCAGTGTAGACTTGTAGTTTTCGCTGGGCGTGAATACTCGCGCGGGTGACTCGCATGCCTCCAGTTGTGGCTCTCACTTACGGCCGATTTTTTGCCCTACGCTTATTTGCAACAAAGCCGTTTCATCTGCTTCGGGTTTATTCACGCGTGGCGTGCGTGGCGTGCTGGGCACGGGTGTGCATTGGTGTTGGCCCTAGAGGAACTTTGAACTGTCTCAATAAAAAAATTATGGTGATAAACACGAAATGTAATTTACTCACCAAGTCGAGTGCTTTCTTAACTTTACTCACTTTCCGCCTATTTTTGACGATAA